ACAAGACAAGAAAAAGACGTTCTGTGAGGGTTTTCCTTGAAAAACGCCTTTGAACAAGAACGCCTTTTTTCAGAGTTTGCCATAGGTGTACACTATAGGTATAAAAGGAGATAACTCTGTGGAGTTTGCTGACAGAACCTCTTTTTTCCAGAGCCAAGTGAGTAAATAAGGCGTTCTGTCAGTGAATCTTCAAAAAAGCGTTCTGTAAGCGTAACCATTTTAAAAAGGTGTTCTCAAGAATTTTGAATGCTTATTTATTTTTAAAAATCCAGTCACAGTTTCACCTTTTCATTTTCACACAAGTAGGGTAACACCCGTTTATCAAATAAAAAGTGTTTGCACCAAAATAAAAAAAGACGTTTTGCTTACGGCAAACAAAAAAACAAAACATTACAAAACAAAAAACAGGCGTGAAACGAGTCCTTTGACGCCAGTTGTTTGTTTGTAATGTTTAGTTTTTTGTTTGTGTTTTTCATTTCTTTCTTCACGTTTGAGTGTAGGCTTGGCATCCTGTTCTTTTGTTTAGAGAAAAACAATGCTTAGTGAAGCCCCTTTTGCAATCTGCTAAACACATTTTAAACATAACAACGGGGGCTCTCGTGGCCTAGAGGTTAAGGTGTTGGCCTCTCATTCAAAGGTCCGGGGTTTGAATCCGGGTAGCGACTGATTCTTTTCTAAAATCGTCTCCTTTCATCTCCTTTCCTGCTCCCTTGCAATGTTCTGTCGTCTGCTTTCGTTTTCTCTTTCTGCCCCCACCCCTTCACCCCCTTTGCCCCCTCCTCTGGGCTCTTGACTCTTTCTGCAGCCTTTCTACTGCTTCTCCTTGGCTCTTTCTTACTGCTGACTTTCAACCAAACCCCTGATCTTCTGGTAGGAAAGATGTACACCTAGCCTTCTCGGACAAGGGCGAACAATCTCAGAGGGCCCGTGTGCAAGTTGCGCACGTTAAAGGTCTAAAATCGATAAGAGTAGGCTTCGGCGGCCATGCGGGCAAAATTAAAAAATTGCCTACAAACTCAAAAAGTTTAATGTGTCCCGCGCGCTAATATGATTTTTATTATTATGCAGTTTCGAGCGCCGTTCAAAACTTACCAAAACAACAACAACAATAAAACCGAAAACAAATCAACATAACAACAGGCCAATTCCCTTCCGCTTTGGCACGCAAACATCTACAGACCCGCACATGCACACAGACATATACGCATGCACACACACACACACATGCACACATACACACACACACATATATATACAGACACACATACATACAGACATGCGCATATACAAATATGTTTGTATGTGTTAATCTTTATTTGTGTGCATGCATGTATGTGCATGTGTATGCATGTATGAGTGAGCGTGTGTTTGCTTTTGTGTGTGTGTTTATGTGTGTGCAGTAGCCCGGAAAGTATAACAAAAGACTTGTACACAGCCGAGAGAGAAAGAGAGAGAGAGAGAGAGAGAGAGAGAGAGAGAGA